TTTTTGAATTAGGGTTGGGGCCTCCTTAAATGAAGCCAATTTTTTTTAAATTAAATAAGACCTTAAAATGTTTTAAATTATTTTAAATAAAAAAAAACCCAACCCCAAGGAAAACTTGAGTGGGTTGAGTAATTGGTCGAAATTTTCGTCTTTACGTCCAAAAGGTCAATGTGTTTTTTTTCCCAAAAATCAATGGGGGGGTTTTTTTTTAGGGGCCAAAACCAATACAGCTGTGAAGTACAGGTAAAGGGCCTATGAGATGTTGAGATCAGAAAGCAGTTTTTACCTATAAGGTAAATCTAACCTTGACCTTTGACCCCAAAATCAATAGGGGTCATCTCCTGGTCATGAACAATAATCATACTCAGTTTGAAGTTTCTAAACCTAAGTGTTCTTAAGTTATTGATCGGAAACTGTTTTTACCTACAAGGTCAATGTTACCTTGACCTTTGACCCCAAAATCAAAAGGGGTTATTTACTGGTCATGAACAATCATCATACCAAGTTTGGGGTTCCTAAGCCTAAGTGTTCTTTATTTATTTATCGGAAATCGTTTTACTTCAAAATGTCAATGTGACCTTGACCTTTGACCCCAAGATAATTAGGGGTCATCTACTGGTCATGAACACTCAACACACCAAGTTTGAAGTTCCTATGACTTAGAGTTATTGATCGGAAATCGTTTTTACCTAAAAGGTCAATGTGACCTTGACCTTTAACCCTTGACCCCAAAATCAGTAGAGTCATCTACTGGTCATAAACAATCATCATACCAAGTTCCTAGGCCTTAACGTTCTTTAGTAATTGATTGGAAACCGCTTTAACCTACTAGGTCAATCTGACTGTGACATTTAACCCCTTGACCCCAAAATCAATAGTGCTCATCTACTGGTCATGAACAATCATCATACCAAGTTTGAAGATCCTTAGCCTAAGTGTTCTTTAGTTATTGATCGGCTATACAAATTAATAGTTTTGAAAGGACAAAAAATTATAGTTTTTGAAGGACAAGAAACATATAAAAAATAGTTTGTTCTAGAACATGAATCACTGGGCAAGGAAAATAATTGTAATTTGGAGATTAAAGAAAATTATTGTGGCCACTTGTAACACTCACAAAGACTTTTTTTCATTTTTTAGAAGAGCTCCACTTATCTATTAGAGCAACACTTACCACATGCACTTGAAAATGTTTGCAAAACATGAAGATTACATGAATAACTAAGTAGACAAGAGATGTCAGAGAGGGACCACACTCAACTCATCTATCTACAAGAAAAGAATTCTCACCTCAGAGTATGCTAAGATGGGTGTGAACCCCACAAGTGAAAGCTTAACACTACACTGAGGATACTGATAGCACTACATTCACCATCCTGATATCACTACACTAAATATCTTGATAGCACTACACTTATTATCCTGATATCACTACACTTACCATCCTGATATCACTACACTCACCATTCTGATATCACTACACTAACAATCCTGATAGCACTACACTTACCATCCTGATATCACTACACTTACCATCCTGATAACACCACACTTAACAACCTGATAACAATACACTAACCAACCTGATAACACTAAACTTTCCAACCTGATAGCACTACATTCACCATCCTGATATCACTACACTTAACAACCTGATAACACTACACTAACCAACCTGATAACACTACACTTACCAACCTGATATACCAACCTGTTATCACTACATTAACCAACCTGATAACACTACACTTACCAACCTAATAATACTACACTTAACAACCTGATTACACTACACTTACCAACCTGATAACACTACACTTACAAAAACCTGATAACACTACACTTACCATCCTGATTACACTACACTTACCAACCTGATAACACTACATTCACCAACCTGATAGCACTACATTCACCATCTTAATAACACTACACTTAACAACCTGATAACACTACACTTACCAACCTGATAACACTACATTAACCAACCTGATATCACTACATTAACCAACCTGATAACACTACACTTACCAACCTGATAACACTACACTTACCATACTGATAACACTACCCTTACTATCCTGATAACACTACACTTACCAACCTGATAACACTACACTTACCAACCTGATATCACTACACTTACCATCCTGATATCACTACACTTACCAACCTGATAACACTACACTTACCAACCTGATATCACTACATTAACCAACCTGATAACACTACACTTACCAACCTGATAACACATACACTTACCATACTGATAACACTACACTTACTATTCTGATATCACTTCACTTACCAACCTGATAACAATACACTTACCGACCTGATATCACTACATTATCCCATTACTTCATGAGCATTTTGTGAAAAATGGCTGTTTTCATTGAAAAGTCTCCAGTTACGAGTTCAAATTGCTATAATACTATAAAAACTGCTTCAACACTAATCAAACTTGGCACAAATGTTGACTGCACCATTGCCCTTGCAACAACATGCTCAAGCTTAAATTTTCTGTTACCATGGCAACGAGGGGACATCTCAAAATTGCCAAAAATCACTATTGTGCGTTGATTTTTTCCATCATAATTGATTTCAAAGTGCTGCAACTTCTCAATGGATTGAGATAGAGTCAAATGCTTTTCAGCGTTGGTTACACGTTACCTTATGATCAATCTGAGGTCATTTATTGCCTCTCACAAGTCCAAAATTTTCTTGGCGATGAGGGGGCCTCCGCCCCCCTTTAAACCCCCCAAACAGAAGGGGGCACATCCCCCTTCTGGCAACCCCCTGATGTATCTTTTGGTTGGTGGCCGCGCCGAAAAAGTGGTCACTTTTTTTAACAACATTTCTCAAACAAATACAAGTGTTGGGGGCCTAAATAAGGCATTTTTTCACCATTTGAGACAACAAAAAGGGGGGGGGTGGGGTGAAAAAGGCGTGTATATGAAGTAATGGGTTAAGCAACCTGATATCACTAAACTTACTATCCTGATATCACTTCACTTACCAACCTGATAACACATACACTTACCAACCTGATATCACTACATTAACCAACCTGATATCACTAAACTTACTATCCTGATATCACTTCACTTAACATCCTGATAACACTACACTTAACATCCTGATAACACATACACTTACCAACCTGATTATACTACACTTACAAACCTGATAACACTACACTTACCATCCTGATTACACTACACTTACCAACCTGATAACACTACACTTACCAACAGGATAACACTACACTTACCCATACTGGTAACACTACACTTACCATCCTGAAAACACAAACCCCTTTACCAACCTGAAAACACTACATTTACCAACCTGTTTTAACACTACTTTAAAAACCAAAACCCTTTGATATCACTACTTTAAACCCAAAACCTAAAACCCACTCCCACTTACCAACCTGATAACACTACCCCTTACCATGTTTAACAAACCCTTAACATCCTGTAAACCCCTTAACATTTACCAAACCTGATATTTACTTTAAAACCCAAAACCCCTGATATCACAAAACTTCCCTATCCTGGTACCCACTTCACTTCCCAAAACCGGGATAACACAACCCCCACTTACCAAAACTAAATTACCCAATACACTAACCAGAAAAATTTAGCTTATAGCCTATTAAAAAAAGAAAAAAAAAAAATTTTAAATTTTCCCTTTTTGCTCCCTAAACAGAAAAATAAGGATTTTGCAATACTTTCCCTTTTTTTTAATCATAGTCAATTTTTGCTAAATGTCCTAAAATTTAGACCTTTCAGACAAGTAAATCTTTCAAATTCATAACCATAACAGTATCCATGTGACTTAAAACTAACAAATGATCATTACAGTATCCATGTGACTTAAAACTAACAAATGATCATTACAGTGTCCATGTGACTTGAAACAAACAAATGACATAACAGTATCCATGTGACTTGAAACAAACAAATGACCATAACAGTATCCATGTGACTTGAAACAAACAAATGACCCTAACAGTATCCATGTGACTTGAAACAAACAAATGACATAACAGTATCCATGTGACTTAAAACTAACAAATGACCATAACAGTATCCATGTGACTTGAAACAAACAAATGACCATAACAGTATCCATGTGACTTGAAACAAACAAATGATCATTACAGTATCCATGTGACTTGAAACAAACAAATGACCATAACAGTGTCAATGCGACTTAAAAACTAACAAATGACCATAACAGTATCCATGTGACTTGAAACAAACAAATGACCATAACAGTATCCATGTGACTTGAAACAAACAAATGATCATAACAGTATCCATGTGACTTGAAACAAACAAATGACATAACAGTATCCATGTGACTTGAAACAAACAAATGACCATAACAGTATCCATGTGACTTGAAACAAACAAATGACAATAACAGTATCCATGTGACTTTGAAACAAACAAATGACCCTAACAGTATCCATGTGACTTGAAACAAACAAATGACCCTAACAGTATCCATGCGACTTAAAACTAACAAATGACCAAAACAGTGTCCATATGACCTGAAACAAACAAATGACCCTAACAGTATCCATGTGACTTGAAACAAACAAATGACCATAACAGTATCCATGTGACTTGAAACAAACAAATGACCATAACAGTATCCATGTGACTTGAAACAAACAAATGATCATAACAGTATCCATGTGACTTGAAACAAACAAATGACCATAACTGAGTATCCATGTGACTTAAAACTAACAAATGACCATAACAGTATCCCTGTTTGTAAAGTTTTCAGCTGTGACGTTTAAAGCCACTACTTTTAGTAGATGTGGAGATACCAACTTAAATGCAAAAACTTAACCAAAGTATGATGCCAATGCCAACGCATGGATGCGTACAATAGTTCGAATGGGTGAGGTAAAAATTTATTAAATCCTATTCAAATGTTCAAGCGCTATTTTTTCCTTGCCATCTGGCTGAGTGTATACTATAATAATATAGAATTTTGTTTAATATCTTTTTGAGTCTTGCCGCACACATGTCAAGTTTCATATGAAAAAGGTCATTTGTTAACCAGAGAATAAAATAAACATGGAGATTAAACTTACCCTTGCCGTTGTTTTCCTGTGTATTTCAATGATTTCTGCAACTGCTGTGTCTAATATAAGCTCAGAAGTAAATCTTCAATCAGTTTGGAATCATATTGACAACATCGATTCTCAGATTTCAAACCTTCAGGACTTTGACAAATATATTGGATCAAAACTAGCAATGAATAAAAATGGAATAAACATTCTAAATAATGCTCTGCAGCACTTCCAAGAAACATCAAACAAATGTATAGAAAAAACTGATAGCTTAACACAGAAGTATGAAATCTTATTGAAAAAATATGAGGCATTGGCAGCTAAGACATTGACAGCCAAGATCAGCAAACCAAAACATTGTCAATCTGGTTGGTTCCCTTATATGAACTCCTGTTACATATTGATGAAAGAAGAAGTCGATTGGTTCCAAGCTCGAAAGTGGTGTAGAAATAACCAAGCAAAACTTGTGGAATACAGGGACATGGATGAATTGAACTTTGTTTTATCAAAAGCTAAATCCTATCGTAATTGGGATACAGATAGATGGGCTGGATTCTGGGTAGGAGCTGATGATCTACAAAGTGAGGGAGTTTTCAAATGGAGTTCAAGTCACACCCAAGTACACTTTAACTACTGGTTACCAACACAACCAGACAGACTTGCTTGGGAGGAAGACTGCATGCAGACACTGGTCAATAAAAAGGGCGAATGGAATGATCTCCCTTGTGAAATGAAACTACCATTTATATGTGAAAAGTACATGTAGAGATGTACACCAATACTTGAACATTCATATATATAAAAGTATAAAGTATCTTAATGAAACATTTGAATCTTTGTGTGTGAAAAGTATGAATGTTAATAACAGTTCAACATTTACATCTGAAACAAGTATTTGAAAGAAACTCAGGAACAGTAAATCTCTGTAAACCGTTGTAAGTTTTCAAGTTAACACTCTGAAACATGTAACTTAAAATCATATTCATGTATATGTAACCCGTGTATCGTTTTCTGTGTATCACTAGTATATTGTATCATCCGTGTTATGTTGAATTTGGTTGGTATTTGCCTAACTCTTGTGTTGTCGTTTATTTGCCTAACTGTGGTAATATTATTGTATAGTCTGTTTTGTAAGAGAGGTCACTGTAAGCTGAAAGGTTGTATGAATGTACACTAATTTTTCACATGCATGACCATAAAAACCCTGCGAAACATCTTCTTGCTTAAGTAAAATATTTCCCTAACTGATAACATACATTACAGTATAGTTGTAATATTAGTTGTTACTTAATAGTAAACTTGAAATCGTTTATTGAAAGTTCTTGTATGCTGAAACTGGTAAAAATTTATAGATTTGTAATGTCATATGCTTTTCCATTGATGAATTGGATGAAATGTGTAATTTTTATTATTTTGTTAATCAATTATTTGTAATTGTATTTTAAATACCGTAAAACTATACAAATTTTAATATATAGCTTTTGCAATAGAAAAAAATAACATTCACTGATACAAATCTACAAACTTCTTTCATATCTATACATACAATAAATATTTTGCAATTTCTGATTTTGTTCAGTCCATTTTCTGATAAATCTGTGATATGCGGGCTTCATAACCTCTGCTCCCCTTACAAAATTCCATTTTCTTTAGTTTCGCCCATTGTTTTCTCGTTTAGGGCACACGCATTGCCATTCTTTTACTTGAAACTGAAACTGTTCTATTTAATTAAACGCCTATTTCTATATACATATTCAATGGCGTTGTACAAAAGGATAATAAAAGTATGTACATATAGATAAAAAAAAACAACACATATGCATGGCAAATGAACTACAAAAAAATATGTTAAAGATATCAGCCGTGTAAAATATAAAGTATTAAAAACTTTAAAAAAAGAAAGAATAGTTATAAAAAATAACAATAAAAAATAATTTAAAAGAAAATAAAAATTAATGGTTATTTCAGTAAAATTTCAAACACATTTCCACATCTCTATCAGTTTACAGCCCCATCACAATCTTAAAACAATGCGTAAAAATCTCTAAAATAGTAGGTTTTGACATTTTTCTTGAACATGTCCAAAGTCGAAGACTGTCTTATATACAGAGGCAATTTATTCCAGAGAGTTGGACCAACGGTACTAAAACTTCTGTCGTTAAATGTTTTCCTTTTGTTAAAGGGGACAGCAAAACAATAATCCATATTATCAACAGATCTGAGATTTGGTCTTTTTATGACAGGCTTGTGTAACAGTTCTGTTAGATAAACCGGAGCATTGCCCATAAAACAGTTATACATTGTACATAGTATTTTAAAATTGATCCTAGCTTTAATTGGTAACCAATGCAGTTCCAACAAAGAGTCTTTGGAACTATCATATTTTCCGCGTTGCAAAACAAGTTTAGCGCACATAATTTATTCTGGATACGCTGTAATTTCTGTAACTCACTTTCTGAAATGCCAAACAATATAGCGTTGCAATAATCCAAATGTGAGATTACAAGCGACAATACTAGGATTTTTGTGGCGTCCTGAGTCAGATATTTGCGAATGCTCTTTATTCTCAAATACTTGGGGACAATACGCCGCTTTTGATGGAATGGCACAGAAGTGTCACATTGAAGGTTCCATGATAACCGCCGTATGAACACATCTGCGGATGTTTCTAAATTCAAAATTTCACCATGACCAAGATTAAGTGATGAATTCGGCTACTTAAGCCGGTGCTAGGGGGCGTGGACGGTAACTTGCACTTTCCATTATTGTCCATGAGCAGGCTATATCAAACCGAGCCTGCAACATTTTCAATTTTGCCTTGTTGGGCTTTCTCTATTTGATATACGGTATACATAAATTCATTACATTAGTCAGAATTCAAGATCATCAAAAATAAGCCGAAATTTCAGAATTGTTCTAAGCAGTAAAACAGTACATGAAACTATTGAAAAGTAGAATCGTTATATGTACAATTTAAATTCATATCTAGCACCATTTCCCTTATCCTGAATACACTCAATGCAATGAGTAATTTGACATAATAGATACAAAAAGTGTGTTACCATACTTAATTACATATACATTGTATCTTTATTTTCACAATTCGTAATTTTTATGTTTTGACTAAGATGGCAGAGGAAACGCGGGATACATTCTGTATTCTCAGAATGTTTTTAACAAATACTCAGTCAAACACATTCAGATTCTGCAATTTTTCCTCAGTATGTTCTTGTATTGCTCACGAGCACGAGGAATTAACCTTCCTATTCCGAATTACTTAACAAGGTACCTCGAGCTGCCACTTCAAGTCGAATTCCAAACCATGAATATCGATCTTTGAGCTTACTCGAAAAATAACTTAAGCATAAAATTCATTTAGTGTTGTTGTTGTTTTTTTTTAAATTTTTGTCTTCCAGCTTCCTGAAAATTCAACTCCACCCCGAAATTCAACTAATGCTACTTTTCGATTGATATCTTCGAGAACAGAAGATTTAAACAAAATAACCCATTAAAGGCCTCAATATTCCGGCATGCGCAAAAGACATTATTCCCCCTTATGACCTGGTCAGGAAACAAAAAAGTAAACAAAGGGGCATGTAAGTTAATAAAGAACTGAATCAACAAGATTTAAATGAGAGTGGCTTTGTTGTTATTAACTTCAAAATTAAAGGTGCGTTTGCTATTCAGACCGGATGACTTTTGAATCGAGACAAAAGTTAAGCACTATACGACAGGAATAGAATTTTGTCCGGTAAACTGATTGTTCGGTAAATATAAAGGATCCCAGTATAGCCGGGAATCGAACCCTGTTGTTGTATTCCAAACTGTTACCCACTGTGCTAAGAAAAGGTCAACTTGATTGGTGAATCAATTGTAAATTGAGCACTGCTTCAATCGAGTTTTTAGGCATCATTTGTTAGGCAAATTAAACAAGATTCCTAGCAAACACTATAATGAGCTTTAATCATTTTTCAAAAGTAAACCAAAAGATATTATTGGAAAATGAAGTTGGACCAGTTTTCTGTCTTGTGTAAGGGAACTAACTCTCGATGGCATGCTCCGTATATGAGTTTTGTCCCTTGGAGAATGGAAATTTAAAGAATTTTCCATTTGCTTTTTTTGCTGCTTCAGAAAAAAAAGGGAAAACATTGAAATATGATTTAAAACCCAGATGAATACCAAAATGGAAAAGACGGGTATACTTGTACATCAAATCGTATTGCAAATAAGAGTACAGCGTGATGCCTTTGTGAGAAATTATTTAAATTCTTGCCTGCAAACCCAAAACAAGAGGGCCATGATGGCCCTGAGGTCGCTCACCTGTATATAGCCCCCCACCCCATTGGCCAATTTTTACCCAAGGGTTTTTATTTGTTTATTTGAACAGACTTGGTAGACACCCATAAGAAGATGTTTCATGCTAAACATCTAAGTTCTAGCTCATTGGGTTTTTTTAAAAGAAGATTTTTTAAGTTTTTACTATACACATATAGTTAAAAACAATGACACCCCTGGGGCAGGGCCAGTTTTAACCCCCGGGCTTTTATTTGAACAAACTTTGTAGATATTTACTTAAAGATGTTTCATGCTTAATATCTAAAATCTAGCTATTTGGATTTTTTCAAAGAAGTTTTTTAAGTTTTTGCTATACACATATACGGAAAATCAATGACCCCCCCGGCGGGCCAGTTTTGACCCCAGGGCTTTTATTTGAACATACTTGGTAGACATTCACTAGAAGATGTTTCATGCCAAATATCTTAGCTCTAGCGCTTTGGGTTCTTTAAAAGAAGATTTTTAAGTTTTTACTATATGCATATAGGGAAAATCAATGACCCCCTGCGGCGGGGCCAATTTTGACCCCAGGGCTTTTATTTGAACAAACTTGGTAGACATTCACTAGAAGATGTTTCATGCCAAATATCTAAGCTCTAGCTCTTACAGTTCTTTAAAAGAAGATTTTTTAAGTTTTTACTATATGCATATAGAGAAAATCAATGACCCCCTGGGGCGGGGCCAATTTTGACCCCAGGGCTTTTATTTGAACAAACTTGGTAGACACTCATTAGAAGATGTTTCATGCAAAATATCTAAGCTCTAGCTCTTAGGGTTGTTTAAAAGAAGATATTTAAAGATTTTTCTTTCGGTTGCCATGGCAACCAGAGTTCTGCATGGATTTAAATTCTTTGAACAATTTTTAAAGGTGACCACCAAAGGAACATTCCTGTGAAGTTTGGATGAAATTGGCTCAGTGGTTTATGAGGAGATGTCATTTAAAGCAAAAGTTTACGAACGGACGCCGGACGAAAAGCGATCACAAAAGCTCACCCTGTCACTTTGTGACAGCTGAGCTCAAAAACACCAAAAGAACACAATAGACCTTCTGCAGAAAATTTTCAGAACTCTAATTAGTTAAAAAAGAAGACTCTGTATAAAAGGAGACTGGTCTACAAACTGAGATGATGGACAAGTATTCAAAGCTTCACTGGGTTCCAACAATGGTGATTATAAGAGGTGACTAAATGGGTCTGAATAACTGAAGTCTATGCATCTCTAGGCTCTGGCAGGTGAGGTGGTTTTGACTCCTCGTGTTGCTTTGAAGTTTGTAACACTTGAGGTTAGCAAAAATCATCTTTCCAGTGTCAGCGCCATATGACCTTATACTGTGTTGGTGCTTGCACCATAAGTAAAATCAAACAAACAGGGTTCAGAGATTTTTAGAAAAATGTTCGAAAGCTCATACTTTGGCATTTGATTGGTTAGAAATTTGCACATTATTTAAACTGACCAATGAAACTCTTGAGACCAAACCTAGGGGGCGAAAGGATGCACCCCGAAGCCTGATGGATTTAGAAAATACAAAGAGACAACAAAGTGAAGCCTGGTTGAGTAGGTCATGTTTAATTACTCCCAATTTATCAAATAAAAAAGAAACAATTGCAAACGGTTCAGATGTATATTTACAAAAAATTAAATAAACATTGACATAACTGAAAAAAAAAATTTTGTTTTTTTTTCAAGATAAGCAGCAATTTATCATAGTAAAGCAGCCACTACTAACTAGATATGAACTTCTCTAATCATCTGTATTAAAGTAGTAATGATTCTGTACACTACTTATTTTGATTGAAGATCAGTTAATACTACTATGCAAGGAAATGTGAAGAAATTTTGCAGCCAATAAATGAAAAATCTGTTGTTTTTTTATTCAGAGCCTTTATCAAAAAACATGTTATTTATACTAACTTACAAGTATCATAGCCCCATGAGCAAATTCTATGGAGCAAAATTGGCCTTCTATTAAAGATAAACTTTTATCTAGAACTTAAAAGTACTCGACTGAGATCTAGAAACCTAAAATCTGTATTTCTTACATAGATCAGCTGGAGTTCTTAAAACAGAAATATATGCAAAAAATGATTAAGAAATATACACTCCGAAATAAATAGAGGATATTCAAGTTTTGTCTATAAATACATGATTTATTTTTATCGAGTGGAATGAAAATAAATATTTCATGAGTGGCGGTAGCCACGAGTGAAATATGGTAATTTTCATGCCACAAGATGAAAATAAATCATGTATTTATATACAAAACTTGAATTTTCTGTTTATTATATACATTTTTCTCTTTTTTGACATTAAAATTTGAAAGACTTTCCCTTAAATTTTGTGTACTGGCAGAATTTTAAAAAAAGTAGTCCGGCAAGACACCAGTGAAAATACGGAAAATATGTTTCACTGCAGTGAAAAATAAATTTTTACAGTGAAAATACGGAAAATGAAAATACGCATTTTATTTCATCAATATTTCTCAATATTTCATTTGTAAGTATATAATAAACTGAAATAGTACTTTTGTGCTATTTTCACCTACATCAAATCGAAAATTCATCTCGAAAATTTTTCAGTCTCGTCATGTCAAAAAAAAAACTTGGTGGAGTCTCTTTAATCGAAATAATTACTTAATCTGTAATGTAATAAAATAAAAGACAAAATTACATGTAGCCCAGACACTTGAAATTAGTATTCATATCAAACACAAACACAGTTTTCCTGTACTTTCATTTCAAACAGCTTGTCTAGGCTAATCCCCTTTATATCGCATATTTTTAGACATATACCAAAAAGGAAAGCTTAATTACGCCAATTATATATAATGGTCACATCTTCACAATTAGTCCACCGTACCAGCTTTCCTATATGACTAACTTGTAACAACCAATTTCTCCTCAAAGGGCAGACAACTTTTCCCCACACAAGGTGAGAGACAAATAACTATTAGATTTAATGTCCATGATCAACTGTCACCAAAAATTTACCCCTTGCCAGAGGATAGAACCAGCTACCCATTGATTTCAAATCCAATGCTCTCCCTATAATGCAATCGGACAGACTTTTAATTAATAACTGGGTTTTACTTAAAGCTGCATGCCTCCAGATAAGCCAAAATATTTCAAGAAAATTAAACTTCAGCAATATGCAGAAATATTTTAAGGAAAGTAAATTGGATTCAAACTTCAAGTAATACTTTACAAGTTAAATGCAATTAATTACCAATTTTAACCTCTTTTTTTTTGGTAATTCAAGTGGACTGTAAGTACCGTTTGCAAGGCACCTCATTTTGACCAACTTAAAAAATATCAATTCACTCTAAAAAACAAGCAAAATAAAAAGAATCAGTCACATGATTTTTACATAACAAAATCTCAAATTGGTCATTATTAACACACTATCTTAATCTACAATGTTATCACATATCTACATCACTGTCTACATCCCTCCGAGGGGATTTAACAGAAGAAGAATTTCAAACAAAAAACCTAAGTCATTAATACATGTATTTATATATCAATAATCGTGAAAGAAAAAAACGAAATTTTCCATAACAACAAACCATTCTCAACAGAAAATCAAAAACGAAATGCAAAATGGTTGGTTGTATATGAAAAATAATTTCTACTTCTATACAATGTAAAAAAACAACATATTTAATGTAACATTTAAATGCAAGGAAAAATACTTCTTTTTTTTTATTCGAAGTTGAAATATGCAAACAGTTGGCCAAAACAAGTACATATCTTAACTCCCTACTTCAGCAGTTGACTTTTTGCCAAGATTTAAAGGTCATTTAGCAAGAAATATTTAAAAGTTATCATGTTCTAGCACTTATATACATACATGACATCTCTGCAATCATTTTCAATAAAACCAAAAACCTCTAAAGACCAGAAAAGAAATCTATATAATATCTTGAACTCATTCATCAGAAACAAGCCTCTCTCTTTCAATATTGACGATTGACTGATTTAAAGAAGAAAAAAAATTTACCACAATTTCACCTACACTGATGCAAAAAGAAAAGAAAAATTGTATAAACTTGATTTTTTTTAACAAAAACATACTTGACTCTGTTCACAAACAATACACAAAGGTAAGTAATAATGAACTTAAATCTATTCTTCTCTATTTACACAGCTTGTCAAAAACAATCAAAATCAAAGTACAAAAAGAAAAAAAAATTGATACCAATTGAAGCATAAATGTATGTAACTTACAAAATACATTACTAATAATCTATTAATGAGCATCTTTAAATTAATTGACTAAAATTTTGTTAATGATAAAAAGACTCTTGAAAATACCTACTGTTTCAGAAAGTCATGTCGAAAATTCACTAAAATTTAATATCTGTTATAGCAGTATAGTCAACATTGTTTCTATTTAAAGCCCTGTCCAGTCATAGGCAATTTGTTGACAAAAGGTCACCAACAAATGGTAGTCTCAATTGAAAAGGTTTTATTTTTTTTGTGGTCTTTAACCAGTGTTAATCTCATTCTTTTTTTCAATTTGTTGACAAAAGGTCACCAACAAAAGGTCAATTTAAAATATAAACAATCAAAAAGAGAAGTAACAAGAGCTGTCCGTAAGACAGCGCGCTCGACTTTTTTATTGCTTGCCAATAAAAAAAGTTTTTGCAGTAAAAGGCAATACAAGAATCTCTGTATTTTTAAAGTGAACAATGGCCATGAGCATTAAGATATTTAGTATATTGGACATGTTTGGGAATCATGATTGTAAACAAGTATTCCAACTTTCAAATTAATATCTCAAACAGTTCAGTCAAAAAGTGGACTGGTACTAAAAACTTAACCAAGATTCTAAGTCGATAAAAGGCCTTAATTTTTAAAACAAATCCTTGACAGAGTTACCTTCTCTTGCGTACAGATGGGGGTAATGATGTGAAATAGCATTAAAAGTTTCAAAGCAATATCTCAAAGGGTTAAGGCAATAAGTGGATTTTACCCATATTCAATGTATTTTCTAAGTCAAAAAGGGGCATAATTCTGTCAAAAACCTTGACAGAGTTATGTCCTCTTGTCTGTTGATGAAGGTCGTGATGGTAAACAAGTATGGTCAGTTTCAAAGCAATACCTCCAATGGTTTTGAAATAAAGTGAGGTGGTACAAAAAACTTAACCAAGCTCAATACACTTTCTAAGTCAAAAAAGGGCCATAATTCTGTCAAAAACCTTGACAGAGTTATGTACTCTTGTCTGTAGATGGAGGTTATGATGGTGAACAAGTATGGTAAGTTTCAAAGCCATACTTGTAATACTTCTGAAATAAAGTGGGGTGGTACGAAAAACTTAACCAAGGTGTGACGCCGACGCCGACGCCGGGGCGAGTAGGATAGCTCCCCTTTTCATAGAAAAGTCGAGCTAAAAAGTAGTTCTCAATCAACAGTTTTTTTTTGTGGAGTGGCCTTTAACCAGAGTTGGTCTGTTTTTACAGGTGTGACTATACTTTACATCATACATACACAGTCTTAACTCAGTTAATATTTATGCATATTTTTTTCCGTACTAGGCATAAACCATTCCCATATGTATTTCAGATAATTCAAAAATGACGGAAGGCGTTTACGGCCTTCCATAATCTTCTTCCTATAATATATCACAATCATAATATATAGTAACGAGAGTGTGTGAATGTTTAAGAGTTTCGGTCCAGCAGACGGTCTGACCGACATTAGTTGTCATTTGCTCCGGAAGAACCAGTAACAGAATTTCAACATCATGTAGCCGAAAGCAGCCGAGTATAAGAGCTTCTCCCGCGTGGCTTGCACATCTTGCTGCTTCTCTATTTTCGTCAAACGTCTGTGTAACTTTGTCAGCTGGAAATACAAATTAACATATTTAGTATAAACAAGAGCCATGTCAACATGGCCATCCCCCGCCGAATGTGTTTGCTCATTGGAAGAATGTATATGTAGTAGAGCGGAATAATTCCATTTTAAGAGGTCTTTTGGTAATGAAAACTGATGGCTATAGTGATTAAAGATTTGAAACCTATGTGAATACTGATGGCTGCAAATAACAAAGGGCAATTACTGAAAAATAATGCAGGGTAGGTTATCATTCTTGTGTGCTGCATCCCTCCTCAGTAAAATCTATCCACCTATGAAGTTTCAAGTTGATACCTCAAATACTTTTTGAGAAAAAAATTGAATTGAAAAATTAAGTATGAAAAAGAACAAAGGGCAATAACTCAAAAATTATAAAAGGTAGAGTTATCATTCTTGTGCAGTGCACACCTCCTGAGTGACATCTATGCACCTATGAAGTTTCATTTTGATATCTCAAAGGCTTTTTGAGTTATGCTCTGGACAAAAATTAATTTTGAAAAATAACAAAGGGCAATAACTCAAAAATAATGCAGGGTAGAGTTATCATTCTTAAGCACTGCACTCCTCCTCAATGAGATCCATCCACATTTGAAGTTTCAAGTTGATACCTCAAATACTTTTTGAGATAAGCTCTGGACAAAATAGCATGAAAAAAAGGGCAATAACTCAAAAATTGTATAGGGAAGAGTTATCATTCTTGCGCACAACATTCCTCCTCAATAAGATCTATCCACCTATGACATTTCATGTTGATATCTCAAACACTTTTTGAGTTATGCTCCACTCAGGTGAAAAATTAGGTATGAAAAATAACAAAGGGCAATTACTCAAAAATTATGAAAGGTAGAGTTATCATTCTTGTGCACTGCACACCTCCTGAGTGAGATCTATGCACCTATGAAGTTTCATGTTAATATCTCATAGGCTTTTGGAGTTATGCTCTAACAAAAATCAATTTTGAAAAATAACAAAGGGCAATAACTCAAAAATCATGCAAGGTAGAGTTATCATTCTTGTGCACTGCACTCCTCCTCAATGAGGTCTATCTACCTATGAAGTTTCAAGTTGATAACTCAAATACTTTTAGAGATATGCTCCGGACAAAAATGTCGGATGGAAGGACGGACGGAAGGTCGGACGGACGGAGACTATTTCTATATCCTCCGCCGAAATTTTTCGGCGGGGGATAACAAGAGACACTGTCAGGTGAGGGACAATGCTGAACTTTTTTTATTACTTTTTCTAAAAGCAAACAAATACATGTACATGGTTTAAACAAATATTTAAAAAGAAAACTAAAGAAATATTTTTTAAGTTTTTCCTTTTACTGTTATTTAAATAGGGCTGTCAGTGTCTAGTCAGACTTGTTGTTTTGTCCAAGTATTTATTTCCATAAATAAATGACAAAGAAAATATAAGCAAAATTCATTCATCTGGTCAAGGTTATTTAAAGGCCAAGATCATATCTAAATTTAATTATCAAATTATTTCACATGTCCGTTTGGTCACAAGTGTTGTGCATGTATGAATCAAATCCTTAGATAAATAAGTGAACAAAATTATGACAACTTAACCAAAATTCAATAATTTGACCAACATGACTGTAATAATACCCCTATTTATTTTCTTTGAAAAGGTTGAGCTAAATTGACATTACACCTTGTATACAAGTATATTCTAAGATTATACACATTCTTTGAAATTTCTTTTCATCCAAACTTCACTGCAGGGCCAGCAAAATCTGATTTTGACTTACATGTCCATTTTCATCTGAAGCATTTCTTAACATGTCTCTATGATATTTATATAGTGAATTTCAAAAATTTACACCTGTCCATATAGGCTGTGCGAAAACCTGGGCATTACATACAACTGATTGTGCCATCATCCATATCATTAAAACAGCAATATTAAGGAAATAAAAATATATTATTACTAAACTGAGAATATAGGGACTGACTTATGTAGAAATTGGGAGATCCATATAAAATCAAATCTTCCCAAACTAAAATAAATTTAACGTTTTATTGTTTGTTTTTTTGCTTAATTGGGTTTTAAGTTACACTGAAACATTATAGGTCATAATGGTGACGTTCCAGCTTTACTGGTGGAGGAAGACCTTAGGTGCCCGTCCGTGCATTATTTCAGGCATGAACGGGCACCTGAGTAGAACCACCTACATTCCGTAAGCTAGCTGGATAGCTTCCTCACATGAAATAATCCAAAGTCCCTGTTAGGACTCGAACCCACAGCGGTGAGGGGTAAGTGGTTTGAAAACGCTAAGGCTTTAGTGAAATTCTCTAGAATAACATCTATCAACAACCACAATCTTTGTCTACCAAAGGGTGTTGCTGTGATGATTTTATTTAAACCCATTTTTTGGTTTCAACTCGAAGACCAATCCACCTAACCGACTTTCCTGTTATAAATCGATGACCAGTACACTTAACCGACTTGCCTACATAACAAACCAGTAATAACCAATTTTTCAGCAAGTGATTTTTTTCTACTTATTCCCACATGATTTCAAATTCAAAGGCGAGAAGAAATTATTATCAGATTATCAGACTCAATACCTGAAATTACTTGTCACAGAGTAATGTCCCCTTGTCAAAGAATTGAACCAGCAACCACCCTCGATCACAAATCGGTTGCTAAGCGAGCGGATTTAAAGTATTTACCTGATTACGCAGCTGGATTGTCTCTTCTTCACTAATCATCATAGAGTCGGAGTTGGACACCGGGGTGTATACCTCCTTTATTGCCATCGTCCTAAAATTTGTAGAAAGAAATGATTCATTGTGACATTTAAATGCATTATATTTACACAATTTTAAAATATTAGAGCATTTAAAACAAAAACCCCTACAAAACGCTAGTGTACAAATGTACAATATATCTTTATATTTATTGATAGTGTATCATTAAATTTCTATAAATGTGCTACGTTTAATGCCATAATGACAAGGTAACGGTCATAAGGCAGGTTTTTAGCATTTACAAATAGCCAAGGGCCTTAGATTATTCCCCTTTGTACACTGATTCAGAAATGAGCAAAAACATGAGTTAAATGACAAAATATCTGTAACCTGACTGGAAAGCTTTCGTACATAAAACATTTAAGAATTCTAGACAGATTCAAACCCTTGGCAGTGATGGGCAAGTGTTATGATGTATCATGTTTATAAGTAAACTAAACAGTTGCTACTCAGCCATGCAGTTCCCTTGGATAGACTTAAATCAGTTACAAAATTCTATACAGAGTTTTTTTGCTTTTTTTTTAAAACTTCTATCAATCTACAAATATTTAAGGATGACAGTTTCACAGTTTTAAGTTCAACTTTTCCAAAAGTTATCAGTCTGAAAACCTTAAAGATACATGTATACTCATCCTTGCATAAAATATTTTACTCACAGAAATTTACTGAAATCTATGAAATTCTTACTAAATATGTTTAATGTTTAATTTGAATCAAAGATTGAATAAACATTAACTATTACAGGACAAGTAAAGTAAAGTAAAAAGCAAAAAAAAACAAAAAAACTGCCAGTTTTTTCTATGACACTCTACATTCATATTGTGACCACCTATAGTGTAGAATTTTAAACATGATATATCTCTTTTGTGTAAAATGAAAACATGTTTACTCTACATTTACAAAGAGACTGTGTTGCAATTATCAGTATTTTGTTATATTAAAATTGAACATAAAAAAGCTTAATTACTTAAACTGGTAGTCATACCCATTTGGTACATGATTATGAACTAATTCTTCTTGATCTTCCATTGATTCTCCTCTTTCAAGTGACCCATATGGTTCATCTAGAGTTAATGTTCTTGGTGGTGTCTGTAACCCGCCAGTGCCATGGTATCCGCCCCTCGGAATATCATCATCAAAATTCAGTCCCCTTATTTCGGGTTTGGTCCCAATATGTGCACCGCCACCTGTAGGAGAAGTAAATATTGCAATGTACTATTCATTTAACAAACTTTAATTAACTTTTAAAGTAGTTACTATGTACATCTGATGATCAATATATACATTTTTCAATATATTTGAGAAAATTAAATCACTCCTACAATGACAAGCAGGTGTTTCAGGAAAGTTGAAAGTTCTTTAACATCATGCATTTATCCCCTAGAATTTAATTTGCATTTAGATTTTTTCCCATATATTTTTCCCAATTAAGCAATTTTACGATGCAAAATTTCCCAAACTGGGCATGGTTATTTTTCCCAAAATAGCTAGGAAAAGGCCTGAGCTATTACATTTACACAGTGACAATTTCTTGGACTAACAGGTCTGTTTCCAACTATTTTTGGAAAATGCCAGAGCTATTCAAGTCAATAAACTTATATGAAATTAGGCAAACGTTGGTACATGTAAAAAAATCCTTTCATTTTTCCAATTTAAAGGTGTCATTCGGTATTTCATGCACCGCTTCAGTTTTCACTCGGAACACTCAACAATTATTATTAATCCTAAAAGTTGCGATTGTTCCGTTATCAGAATACTGCTTCTATTTTTATTGAGTTACATTAACAATAGTGGCGCACAACTAGAACTGACACTGAAAATTTTCCTGATAGAAATTGAATTCTATATATTTTTGAATTGTTTTTTATTTGATTTTCTTTTAAATATACACATGTAGTCTATAGCCGAGCAAGCCCGCTTTGCAGTCCCGGGCCTTTGACTTCCCAGAATTATCAAAATGAGAAATCATAAACATCCTGTGTAATCCTTGTAATCAACAATTAAAATTAAAATCACCTGCAAGTAAAATTCTTTCAGGAACATTCATCTCATGCCTTCTCATTTCTTCTTCTTCCCTATTTCCCCATCCAGCGCTCCGCCTTGTATTGAACTCGGTGTCTCCATTCATGACTGGTATGGAGTCAGGAACCTGCATCTTGTTACTGATTGACGAGATAAAATCTGGGTCATAACTTCTTGGCTGAACATCACTATAGTCTGATGGCAAACTTGTGATTATACTTCTGCGGCCTGTCTGAAAAATACAGTTCAGTATAAATGTCATAGAAAACTTAAAAGATGTTGAAATATACTTGTCATGGTAGAAGTGTTCACTATTTAGGGGAGAAGATGTGTAAGCGACTGGATAGCTCAGTCGGTAGAGCTGCAGTACGGTATTCTTTCACACTTCTAATATTTCTGTTATATAAAAACATATTTTAATTAATCAATATTTTTTATGGTATTTAATTTTTGGATAACAAAAAAAAATGAAATAATATATACATGTAGACTTATAGCTGATAATTCTTTCAGAACTCATATTTATAATTATTTTTCCAGGGAAATTTCACTATATTTATGTCAAAAAATCTTCTTTATATCATGAATGTAATTGTTTGCAAGTATGTGTTATATTATATATAATATTATAACCCATAATGGTATTTATTTCATATATTTATCAAATTTAAAAAGTGGAGGTGAAAAGACCAGGGTTTTGAGGGTGAAACATCCAGGGGTGAAACATCCAGGAGGTGTAAAGTCCAAACACCCCCAGGTTTGAGTCCCAGTCAGGGTACACTTTTTCTCACCCTGTGATATTTGGCACCCAATGTGGTTTATCTGTGTGATTACACATCTTCTTCCCTAAATAGTGAACAGTTCTGAACCATGATATACTGCCCTGCTACATGTATATTAAAATTTGACCTTGAATTTCACAGAGTTACAGATCATTATGAAACTCTGAGCTATATATTCAATTATGGCCTGTTGGGCGCCAAATGTCACAGGGTGAGAAAAATGTGCAGCTTGACCAGGACTCGAACCCCGGACCCACCCTACACTGTTCTGCGGCTCTACAAAATGAGCTATCCCGGCCCTTACACATCTTCTGCCCTCATAAGTGAACAGTTCTTAACTGTGACATACTCCCCTGCTGTATTGAAATTTGACCTTGAATTTTACAGAGTTACAGAGCAATGTGAATTAAACTCTGAGCTATATTCAATCATAGGCGCCAAATGTCACAGGGTGAGAAAAATGTGCAGCCTGACTGACTTGAACCCGGGACCATCAGAATACTGTTCCACGGCTCTACCAAGTGAGCTATCTGGCCGCTTACAAATTTTTCCCCCTAAATAGTGAACAATTCTGACAAACTTCCCTGCTATATGTAAATTCGTCCCCGAATTTCACTGAGTTACAAAGCAATGTGAATAAAACTTTGAGTTTTATGCAGTCACGGCCCCATGATGGGCGCCAAATGTCACAGGGTGAGAAAAATGTGCAGCCTGATCGGGACTAGAACTGGGACCCTCGTAATAGCGTTCCGCAACTTTGGCGAGTGCTGACTGAGCTATCTAGCCTCAAAGGTGAACAGTTCTAAACAATGACATACTCTAATGGAACCATTTAATAGACAAACTCTGGAAATTTAAGTGGACAAAAGGTGTACACGTTTCCAATAGGGAGTTACTGTGCGAGACATTTAAGAGATACATAAAATTTACTTTTTTATTTTTTCTTATTCTTAATTTGCTTTTTTCAGGACTTAGTGTAATTTAGGGGACCCAGTGATAAATAAACTGCATATTTTCCCCAATTTTGTTTTCCAAATTGGGGCCTAGACCTAATGATATTGCGTAATTGGAATAAATTTCAAAGTGTTTTGTTCAATGTCATGACAAAAAGCAGTGCCAATGTAAGTATAAACCAGGTATCTGTTAATATACATACCTGTTTAAACGAACATGCTCCAATGTCAATACCAAATATTAATACCCCACCCACTTTTTTTCTGAAGAGGTAAAGAATAACTTTGGATTCAGTGAGCATTTAAATATGAAATAACAGTCTATCGTAATCTTACATATTCTGATTCTTCATCCATGTTTTTCTCAAACGATGATTTTGACAGTGTCTTATACATAAAATGACAAAAAAAGGTTTTAATCCTTTACTTTCTCAATCATAATTGAGCTTCCGGTTTGTGCGGATACCTTTTGATTTTCTAGTAGTTAAAAAGCGCGCGGAATTTGAAGCTCATTTTACTTCGTCATTCTCTGGGTGAGATTTTCTTTTTAAAAATTTTACGAATATTGGATAAAGCTTTGATTCTAAAAGATAAGGATAAGTAAAATTGTGATCATATCTTATCTAATCTGTAAATACATGAGCAGTATTATTGAAGATAGATCTACAGCTTATAAGTCAAAAACAGAATCCCAAAAGAATGTCCAAAACAGCAAAATTGAAAATGTTATAGGACCTCGGTTTGATTGAGGTTGTTCATGAACGGAAATAGTTATTGCAAGCAATCGTTCAATCTCCCTAGCAACGACATAAGCAGAATACAACATATATATATCTAAGCGAAGTTTTGAATTTCAAAACATCGATCATAAGCCTACAGCGGTTATTATGGAAGAGTGTGAAGGCATCTAGATCTATGTTAACTTCACTTGTCAGATTAAAAAATCATACATTTAGCCATAAGTATCTGATATTATTATTATACATAATGCATCTAAATGACAGTATCATGAGCAATTCTGGGAAATCACTTTAAAAGCGCGCCTTTAGAAGACAATGAAGACTCTTGGGAGCCCAATTAATTTATGTATATAAAGGGCAGGTGAGTACATGTAGATTTATAAATTAATAATGCTGGCACTAAAAATTTAAGTATGCCTACCCTATGCTCTTGGCTTGGAAGACAGATGACTTAAGTAACGTAGGTTTTAGAACATCAAGAGAAATATAGTTGTTGCATAGAAAAAAATACATGTCTGTAAAAAAAAAAAATAATAGGTTGACTAATTTTCTCAAAGCTAAATATCAATACTGTAAAATTTGTATTTTTTATGAATTTGATTAAACTACGTCGAGTTAGCAAAGAGAAAATGTTCATAGAATTTCTTTATTTGAAAATGTAAATATTATACCCCGGTCATATATATATATTCACGGTCCTCACATAATCATGTTTCAAATGTTTTCCAACAGTTAGATGACGGTCACTTAACGACGTCATTTGACAACGTCTCCTAGCAATACCAGAATGAGGACTGAAAGAGATCCATGATGGGCGCTGCAATTTGCCATTAGCTGAAATGTCCACGCATAAGGTGAGAGTCATAAGAGTTGAGCCCTCAGATGGTACGGGATCTTTACCCCCAGTGAGGGCAGATACAAAGAAACTTATGGAACAACAGATTATGTTGGCAAATAAAAGAAGTCAAGTATTTACGTACAAGGGGCCAGGAAAGACCCGAAGTCGTTCTGTACCCGACAGAGGATTTAAAGTGGTTCAAGTTACGCATGCACGGGAACAGAGTTTACCTAGATATCGCGATGATTTTTACGATTCAAGTGACGAAGAATTAGAAGAGGAGGAAGTCAAGTTAACAAATACACCAAAGCAGGAAGCAGAACAACTGGCAGTTGATATAAGTATGAGTTTAGAAGACAAAGAAGAAAATCATAGAGAATCAATGGGATGTATCAGCCAATAAAGGGGTAGTTTGTACAGACACGAAAATGAAATACGAGGTGGAAATAAGGTATAAAGTTTTCCACCCTTGTGCTTAGCATAATTATACTTCAGTACTACTTATTACTAACTAAAAACGATTATGAAATAATCACAGGTGCAAATATTCTTGACTTAATGTTTTATTATATCTAATGTATATTATGTGTTTCACCGTGTATATCCAGTAACGCTGGAATGTGAAAATTACGCACGATTCGTGCAATAAGTAACGCAGAATTGTGCAATAAATGGCCGATACCTGACAGGATTTCCAACGCGGTAAGTTAACTGGCCAACATATTTTTTATTAAACCGAACTGTAAAAAATCAATAGCTGCATACGGCTGCAAAGACATTACTCTTTATCCATCATCAAGATTATTTCCACGAAATTGTTTACTTTCGTGAAAATGATGAGTGAACTACATTCCGGCGTTACTGGATATACACGGTGTATTTGTTATTTGTTACATGTCTACGTCCTCGTAATGCCTCGTGAGGTTTTGACAATAATGTGAGGGATATATCTATATTTTATTTTTAATACACATGAAACAAGCATGCTTTTGTACTTCACGGAAAATATTAATAATTCTGGCTTTCCCATAAAAATCGGCCTATAAAGGGGTTAAAGTGCGGTGTAAGTGAGTCTATTTTTTTGAGCTAAGATTGTAAGTCCAAGCTTACAGGTGCAATCCACAAATCTATATCAAATTTACAATATGTATGTAAAGATACAGAACAAAATGACATTTAAGTGTATTCTTATTTGTTAGTGTACCTGACAGTTCACGTTTCTTTGCTTAAGATTATTATTCCGAATAGTTTTTTGTCAATTATAATTGGTACTTAGATATTCGGCTTGATTTCATTCTTTTCATGTGAAGGTATTGGTAAACCATCGAGAGCATTATTTGTTAGATTTGAATTGTACATTTTTGAAAAACCTTATGAATGAAATTGATGTAAGCTGCATCACATTGTGTAATACTATCACCCTCGGGATTCTTCTTCAATTGTAGGAAAATGAAGACCTTGATAAAAAAGATCAAGATGTAAAAGCAAAAAAGGATAACATTTCGACCACTTCTAACGAATCTGACCAGGAAAATGACAAGGAAAAAGAAGAAAAAGAAGATGAAGCTTCCAAGTTGTTTTGGTTTCATTTCAACTTGGATAGCCAAAAGGAAGGAGAAAAGACGTCAAAAGAAAAAGAAGGCTATAGCTAGCCGCGCCCCCACACCAACGCTAGGTAAGAATTACACACACACACACACACGCACGCACGCACGCACGCAAGCACGCACAAACACACACACCTTGCTCGCATTTTGTGACAGTTAGAAAATATATGAATATATGTTTCCTGCTTGTAAGTATATTTTCGTCAAACTTTTATTTAAAGAGAAGAAACTGCGTACTGAGAAGACAAAAACTTGTTTTATTTTATTTAACAAGATAATTCATTGGCAATACTCTTTCTATTTAAGTTCAATATGAGCATAGAAAATCACGTGGCGGGGAGTCTTTTACCATTGAGGTAGACTGCAAACCGATAGTGATGAAGCCGATATTGCCGCCAATAAAGACAGCTGGCGGGCCTGTAAGTATAAATCTTATATTTTGAATACAACATACTTTCTATGCTTCCCGAAATATATCTGATGTATGTTTGAAAATTGTATTTTTGAAAACAACATACTTTCTATGCTTCCGCCTGGAAGTATTTCTGATGTATATTTGAAAATTGTATTTTTGAATACAACATACTTTCTATGCTTCCGCCTGGAAATATTTCTGATGTATATTTGAAAATTGTATTTTTGAATACAACATACTTTCTATGCTTCCGCCTGGAAGTATTTCTGATGTATATTTGAAAATTGTATTTTTGAATACAACATACTTTCTATGCTTCCGCCTGGAAGTATTTCTGATGTATATTTGAAAATTGTATTTTTGAATACAACATACTTTCTATGCTTCCGCCTGGAAATATTTCTGATGTATATTTGAAAATTATATATGTATTAATAAGATATATCTATGTAACTGCACTATTTGCTATTTAGTCAGTATATAAAAATGTCAAAATTTCCTTAATAAACGATTTGTTAATTTGTCCAGACTGAGGTTCATATAACATACGTACAAAATGTAATTAGAATAGTAAGTGTAAAAGCCATTTGAAATTTGCTCTTCAACATCAACTAAACGATGATATATTAAATCTGCAACATAAAGTTATATTTAATCCAATGTATATATCCGGCAAACAAATGCTACAAATGAACTAAATCCCATTAACGCTATATAATTAACGAGAAAAAAAGCGAGTATTGACGAATATGTGTATTGATTAACAACATCTATAAATTTACAAGACAAACAACGGCACTATATGGAACGTAAGGAATAGCCAATAGTCTAAGATTTGAAACTTTGGACTTTTATATTTTTTTTATATTGTTACTATGATTATATACAATTTAGACAAAATTGAGAAGTTTCAAAAGGAAAGTTTGAGTTTTGCCTTTAATATTTTGTTACATTTTTAACAGATACGCCTAGCATGTGAGGCTCGGCAAGAGAAAGCTGAGGCCAAAAGAAATGAGGAGTTTATCCAAAAAGAAAATACTGGCAAGAGAGCACCAGAGAAAAAAAGTAAGCTCACTTATTTTGCGTAACAACCGTTTGATTACATATAACACGTACGTTCAATAACAGAATTTACCTTCTTTAAAGGAATGTGTGTTTTCGTAGACCTGATGTTCAGACAATAATTACAAAAGTTTTATATTTCGCATAATCATTATACATTTTAGATTATGATCTCTATCATTAAAAAAGATATTATTTACATAACACATGTTTTTTTAATAGCATCAATTCACATCAGACAATAAATCATTACATAAACACCAGGTAAATATCATTTACATCACATCAATATATATTACTAATATCACACCAGACACTTTATTTTTGACATCACACCAGATACGATATCAATTACATCACACCAGATACTATATCATTTACATCACACCAGATACTATATCAATTACATCACACCAGATACTATATCATTTATGTCACACCAGATACTATATCATTTACATCACCATAGATATTATATCAATTACATCACAACAGATACTATATCATTAACATCACACCAGATACTATATCAATTACATCACAACAGATACTATATCATTTACATCACACGAGATACTATATCAATTACATCACACCAGATACTTTATCATTTACATCCCACCAGATACTATATCAATTACATCACAACAGATACTATATCATTTACATCACACCAGATACTATATCAATTACATCACACCAGATACTATATTATTTACATCACACCAGATACTATATCATTTACATAACACCAGAAACTACATCAATTACATCACACCAGAAACTATATCATTTACATCACACCAGATACTGTATCATTTACATCACACAAGATACTATATCATTTACATCACACCAGATACTATATTAT